GCGCTGCTGCTACTTGCCCCCAGGGAATCAAATGCCCATGAATGTGCGGATGTGGTTGTGAAGGCAAAATTTGGTCCCAAAATGCTCACATCTGTCAGTGTTCATATTTGGACATCTAAATCTAGCTTAACTAAACCTGGTAATTTAAAATAAATAAAATAATTAAAACTATCTGTAGGAGGACTTCTGGGGCGGTCGGGCATACAGAGGTGGCAGGGGCACGCAACCAGGGGCCTGAGCTGGAGCACCTGCCTACTACCCCCAGCTCAATTCCAAGACAAGGGGCTTTCTTTCCACATGTTAAATTTGGGGGGGGGGAGACCTTATCTTGGCATTGAATAAATACAGTATTTTGCACTACTTCTTAAATATCCCAACACCATTTCTTAAGTAGTCTTGCATGATGCAGTCCTCTAACCCTCCTAAAAAATTGTTTCCGTTAGCATTTAGTTCCTGCCCTCTTCCTTCGGACATTTTGCCTGACTTCATAGTGCTACAGATTAACTCTGTACACAGTGCAATTAAATTATAGTTAGCATTAGTGATTGATTATAGTTGCAAAAAAATTGAGGAATTAAAATTCCCAAAGATCTTTGATTATAGAGATAATAGAAAAGTATAAATAACACAATTCAGTAATGGTTTAAAATTGCGATCCCAGTGCCTACTGTTTGTTCCATGGCAATTTTCCTAAAAAATGAATGAGAAGACGTCTGCTTCTTCTGTAGCACGTCATCCTCTGTAACAGCAGCAAGAGGAATTGCACTTGTATTGGTTAATTAAACAAGCTTGATCCTTTAAAAAATACAGGCAGTCCTTGGACTTGCAACAAAATTGGTACCTGAAAACTGTCTTAAGTTGAAACGTTGCAACTCGGAACTGATTTTTCCCATAGGAAGCAATGTTATAAATGGGGCATTTGGTTCCTGAACCAAGGCCCGATACCCTGTTTTCACCAAAAATAACCCAGAATTTTGTACTCGGTCAATTATAGATGAGTAATATAACTACGTTAATGTATTTATATTGTAAATAGCAATCATATTGATTTGGAAGGACTTTGAGATGACTTTGCTGGAATTTTTGAAGGGCTCTTGGTTGGACTCCTTGAAGCGTTCTTGGCTGGAGTCCTGGTTGCAGGTTTTTTTTGGAGTCTTGTGTGCTTTCTTAAAGAAAGTGTCCAAGGAAGTTTGGACAGGTGTTCTCTAGTGAACTTGTTCGCTGGCGTGGTGTTGGGTCAAGTGTTGTAAAGTTGAAACTGATGTCAGAAAGTTTAAACAGGGTGTCAGTTTATAAACGTTGTAAGCTGAGGACTGCCTGTAAAGAAAAAGACATGCACTTCTACATGATAAAATCGTAAATGCTAATGATAAGGGTTTCTACACTTAGTTTCCCAGGAAGCCTAGACTCTACATACTGTGCTTGTGGGCCAATATGATAGTACGTCGTGGGCCAGCGTCACTTCTTAATAGTAGTGCTGTTGAGGACTCCCTTTTTTCTGAGTGTTTGGATAACAAGCCTGTGAAAAGGAGCATTAGTGTGCCAATTGTCTTAGTTCCTTCCAATCACAGTGGAAAGCCAACAAGAAACCTCATGCATGTCTTTGGACAAGAATTTGTAGGAATAGGCTATTGCATTGACCCAGGTGTGCTATTTGAGAATAGGAGTGCCTGTCAAACCTACGGACATTTATATAGATCTGGATGTTCAGGTGTAGCAAGATAACAATGTAGGGCTTCCATCTTCTGCTTCATGAGGTCTGTTCCAGTACTGTGAACTTAACATTAGCATAAAGTTAGTAATATTCAAAGAAACTGACTTCTAGGGTTTCTTTTAAAAAGAATTTTATTAGACTTGCTCTTTAAACGTAAGAGCTGATCTGTCAG